GATAACGTTTACGTTTACTCTCCAACAAAGCTAAAAATATTACCTACGCAGAAGTCCTATAACCCATGGTCGGTCACGTTTAAACGCAATGTACACATCTTTATGCCAGCTGCATCATAGGTTCCTTCATTTTTGAACCCGGCTTATTTAAAGGTTGTCGTAGTATTCACTTGTCATTACTAAGACATTTCATTAAAGGTTGTCTTGCTCACCAGATGTTCCCTTATCACTTAAACTCCACCATAGCTGCATTCGCACTTACATGTCGACCATGTAACCATATTCAGTTGCAACACAAAACCAATACGTGGGAAGGTGGATTCATTTGTCAGAGAAGTCGAATGCGTCCACGCAATTCAGGCCTCAGCAAAAAGAAGTGGAATAATAAAAGAATAGCAGCATGCAGAGTTATAATATGCATTATCTGCCGTACACCGTTGGTGTGTTTCTGCCCTTACGATAAGGGCTGCTTTAGGTAACGCTACATGCGCTTCATGCTCGCCTCAACTGGCTATTAAAAACTACAAAAAAAAATTTGTGCCACTTACAAGTACTCGCCCCGGTACCTTCCCATACTTCTGTTATGTGGTTCTGTTTGCGGTAGTGGCAGCGCCGTTTTTGGACAAAAGACGCGTCTACCTTTCACACTATTGCGTTTTACTACGTTGCAACTGACACAGGGCTTCATGTAATGTTTTGCACTCAGGGATAATAAAACCATCCCATCGGAATACAAAGCCACCTGCCACAACTAACCAAAAACTTCCTAAGGCCCGTGTTGGTATTGAACTTGACAACTTTTAATTGGAGTTGTCTTAGTAATGGCAAACGGCTGATGTTACCATGGCTGTCCATTGCTTTTTTTTTTAAGCCTTACAATTTTTTCTTCCGTTGTGTTGATGAATACCGACAACTTGTGTACATTACGTTTTTTTACGTGAGCGGCCATCAGTTCTACTAGACTGAAGCCTTACATGCGTGTACAAAATGAATATGGCGGTTATGACCTTCCATTCAGAGGAAGTTTACTCTCGGGCAACGCCGGGCTTTACTGCTAGTAGATACATATTCTGCAAAGTGACATTTCAGTGCCTCTTTCTATATGATTCATGTGTGGATTGTGCTTTTCAAATATTTTTATATTAAAAGGTGAAAATGAGATGCATTTTCATCATTTCATGCTGTTTTATTTGCAAAAGGAGTAATCAATAAAGTGAGTCATCTTCCATCAGGACAATGCCAGATCTTAGGTATCTTAATAGACCTTGCAGAAATTGATACAGCTTGGCTGGGATGTTCAGCTACATCTGCTGTACTCATCTGATCTTGCACCTTTACATCTTGCCACTAATTTTAATCCCCAAAAAGAATTTCTTAATGTGAACTTCAAGAAATTCAATTCTCTGGAAGCAAGTAATAAAAGCCTTGGAAAATTTTATCACCCAGAATACCAAGTCATAGGAAGACAGAATCCTGAAACTGCCTCAAAGATGGCAAAAGGTAATAGAACAAAATGGCACATATTTGGTTGAATAAATTATAGACAAATAACTAAATATTGTTCATAAAATTCACTTAAAAAAAACTATAAACTTTTGTTTCATCCCAATATATATATATGTGTGTGTGTGTGTTATTGATTTTACTTTTCATTTTTGTCTTTATAATTTGGGATATTAATGTGATTCCAAATCGATTATACTAATTTCATTCTGGATTGATCAATGTGAAAACCTTCACATACGATTTTGTAGTTATTTATTCAGCTAAGCTTATTGGTGCACAAAGATACAATGTGGGTGAGGGCAACTCTTCTAGGAATTAAAATTACTTCTCATGGTCTTTGATATTAACTAGAAAGCCATTATTCAACAGAAATTGTCATACATTTCCATTGAAAAGAAGATGGAAATATATAAAACAAAGTCAATACAGTAATATAAAAAATAAGTGAATAGTTGCGAATATGGTAGATCTTTCTTGTTTTAACATAAAAATATCAATCTTTTAATTAAAAAATAACTTTCAGCAGAAAAGCTACCACAAGAAGCACAAAAGCAACCCAGAAAAAATTGGATGATGCATTATCTGGTGTTGGTGTCTTGGAGGCATTCAGGCCTGAGATTGTTCGGTCCCATTGTCCATACAAAGCTTCTTTGGCTCCCTTCCATTTACCAGGACCAACTAATCGGTATTGGTATGGTGTACAAGTACTAAAGAAGCAAAACAATGCCAAAAATGGATCTACAAACAACAGTTTCCCTGTAAAACAAAAGCACAAAGAAAAAATTAAAAAAGTACCAATAATTAAATTTTCAGTGTGTATCTGTTTAATGTACAAAATTATAAGCTGTGATACTAATGAGCTATTTTCTGTGAGATTTTACATGTAGGCTTATTGATATATTACCTGTATCTTAAAATAATCTAATTTTTACTTGTGGGTGTATTATTACAGTAAAATTGGCACATCAGAGTGAGATTTTTGTTATGAAAATACTGTTAAAATGCCCAAATTTGAAGAATGGAGCAACTTTCAACCTAATTTGCACACAGTAGTATTGGGATTGTGAATGAACTCTCCTTGATAATAATCTGTTTTTTTTTGTATGTTTATGACAGATATTGAACAGAAAAACATATCAATATTGGAAGTGGAAAAATGAAATGATAACCAATTCTTGCATAAAGTAAGGAAATACATGAAATAATCATAGCTTTATTTTGTAAAATAAAATTATTTTTATTATATATTTTATAGATAAATAAAAAATTGCAATATTATTTTATGCAAAACATATTACTTTTTTTTCTTCTTCTTCCATGATGAAAATTTTCACATTTTGTTAGAAAAAGAATTTTCTAAATTCTTGACATGTATGTTCAAAATTCATTGATAAAAATTGACCTCATTCTTCTCGTCTTGCTGGTTATGATCTTGATATTAATAATAAAATCCATTAATTGTCAGTCCTATAATTTTGTTAGACTAGTGTTCTAATTAAAGAGACAAAATAAAAAAGGGAATAAAACTAAAGAAAAAACCATATATAACTTTTAAAGATCACAACAACTGAAGGCAACAGGCAGGAAATATATGGAAAGATGAAAATAATTCATCTCACAATTTTATAAAATATTGATTGTCTTTTATATAAATTTGAGAAATGGTATTAGTATACCTAATATTATTTAGACAATTGAATCCATTTTTTTATAATTGCTATTGTTAACACATAGAGGCATGTGGCTGAGTGGTTAGAATGTTTTCATTCTGACCATGAGACTCAGGTTCGAATCTCACCATGGTTGATTTGTTAGGAAGGAGACTTCCTGATGTTATCAAACTGGAAGGGTTGATTTCAGCATGTGGCACCTTTGGAAAGTGCCTGAAAAACTATACCATGGGTTGACTGCATAGACAGAGCCCTTGGGTGTTGTCAATATCTGTGCTAGCATGAAGTCAAAAGTTATTGTGGTCAAAAGCACGAGTGTGCTGGCCTTGTTCAAATTGCTGATCACAGGTGTTCTCTGTGGATGTTGAATAAACACAAATGCGCCTGAGCAAGCGTCTGCAATAGGGATTGGTTAGCCACTGTAGTAGATGGGTATCCTCCAATATGAGTGGCCAGCTATACATACATACATTGTTAACACAGTTAAGTTCTTTATTCCTCATCAGATGTGTTTTGTGAAAAAAAAAAGACTTTTTTTGTTTTGTTTTTCTTGAAGAAAAACATATTTCTTTCTTCCTCCATACAGAATACACATGAGAAGATTTAAAGAATGAATTGACTGAAATGTTATTTATTAAGAGTGAAGTATCTGAAGGAGGCACTTCAATTGTGGCTGCAGAAAAGTAACCCAAAAGAATTCAAATCTTTCATTGTATTGACTGATTTGTTTTTATGGCTTATCAACCTTTTGCAGATTATTTAAATACTGAAAATATTTTTAGAGTGCAAGAATTTTTGGAGATAATATTGATTGACTGAATCAAGACTTACTAATTAAGGTGGATTCATACCTTTCCCAAGTGAATGTAATGAACACAACTAGAATTGGAACACCACTCTCTGAATTTTTATCCATTACATCACCCACACATCCATACTTATAGCACCTGGTATTCCCAATCAGTCAGACATTTAGGTACTGACCTGGTGTAGTGATATCAATCCACCCAAAGAGATATTTTTAAAAATCAAAGTGTTTGACTGGAAGAATGAACAAGGTGTCTGGTGTGAGCTGTAATGCTACACTGGCTTCATATTGTTTAACTTCAATGATCTTATGAGAACCAGTGTTTCAACATGATATGGCCATTATCCCTTTCATTTTTAAATTATTTTAGATATTAAATCCATTTTCAATTAAAGACAACAGTAAAGCAGTTATTGTCTTCCTATAACTTTGTTCCTACAGTAGAAATTGTATATAAAAAGTGACAAGCATTCTGCTATCATTCAAGAAATTTAAGGTCATATTTTATGAATTGTATCTCTTTTCCTGACATGTAACATACAACTATAATTAAGGAATATTAAAGAAAAAAAACTTTCTACTGATGATTATCAGCTTGGCCTTTTCTTGTGCTTGTCTCACTTTCGATTTAGCTCATCTGCTTGGGCTTTCAGTATCTTCAAGGTAACCTGCTTCACTGGAACTATGATGTTTAAGTAAGGAATCCACCTAATAGTGGTAATGAAGTTGAGATCTTTGTTTAGAATTGATTGCACAGAGGTCCTCAACAGCCATTTGCTGATATTGATGTCTGTTTTTATTCTGACTTTTTATAATTTGACATAATTTTGATTTGTCTTCATAATGTAATCATTTATAATAATTTATATTTCCTTTTGAATCATTAGAGGGTTAGTGAGTTAGAAAAGGGTGTTTAGGAGATAATCTAGTACCACTAACCCAACCAACAGAATATAAGATGCATGATGTTTTTCAGAGTTTTTTTAATGTTCAGTTTAAATGACAAGAATAACATTACAGCCACATCTTTTTGAAGACACTAGTTCCTGTATGATCACTGAAATTAAGCAACATCGTGTCTTATCAGTACCTAGATGGGTGACTGCTTGTGAATACCAGGTGCTGTAAGCTTGGATGTACAGGTGGAAACTTTAAAAACAAAAATAGCCAATCTTAGCTAATTCGGGTCAATGAAAACAAAATGGTATCCAGAATTGTTGACTGACTCTAGAGTTCAATATACGGTACTAGTGTTATATAAATATTTCATCAAAATTGTTGCCCTTGTCAGATTATTATTCTCCTAATCACATTATTATATATAATTATATTCTTAATGAAGTAATTATTATTCTTCCTTTCATCCATGTTTTCACGCATTTAATTAACCTATGAAAAATGCCCCGTGAATGCCTGAACAAAGCTGATAACTTCTGTTATGCATTTGACAATGTGACTTTTGCATTTTAAAAATCTATATATAAGACATGTTGTGAGAATAAATTTTCCAGGATGAGTGAAGCAAAGATAAAGGATGGCATAGTTATTGGTTGCCAGATTCGTAAACTTCCTTTGGATAAAAATTTTGAGTACTCTGGAGAAAGAAAAAACTGCATGAAAAGCTTTCAAATCAATAGCAACCAACCTCCTGGGTAATGAGACAGCAGACAATTACAGAAAACTAGTGGAAAACCTCCTGAAGGCATACAAATATCTTGGCTGTAACATGTCAGGTAATGTTGGCTCATAAGTAACACCAAGGGATTGTGTGAACTAAACATCACCTACTGTCCAAAGTTTGGTGGCCAGAAATAGATAGAATGGCAGAAAAATAAGTAAAAGTGTGTTACCCATGTCAAGTGGTTGGCAAAAATACCCTTCCAGAAGAATTAGAGAGGAAACTGCTGCCTGATCAACTCTAAACTTACGTAGCTGTTGATCTACTGAGTGTCTTTGAAAGGAACTATCTGCTGTCATTGTTAACTACTACTCCATATGGCCAGAAGTTGCGTACATGAAAACAACAAATGCCAAAAATGTAACAAGTGCACTGATGTCATGAATATTCCAGATATCTGAGGAGTGACAATGGACAGCCATTCTCATCAAATGAATTTAATGAGTATCTGAATACTCACGGCATCACCTAGGTGAAAGGTATCTTGTATTGGCCACAATCCAACGGTGACGGTTCAACAGAACAATTCTGAAGGCAATTAAAATTGTCAAAGTTGAAGACTGGAAGGCTAAACTAAGGAATTTTCTGTTCCAATACTGAACCATCCTTCACAAGTAACCCCAGCAAAGTTACTTATGAACCGCAAACTCTGAGATAAGCTGCTAAGTGTTGTAGGAGCATACACTGATTTTTAAGGATGTACATGACAGGGATGCTCTACACAAACTAAAATGCAATATAAGCTGCCAACCAGAGAAGAGGAGCCAGAGACCAGAAGATCCAGAGACACAGTATTGTGTAAAAATTTACACAGAAACAATAAGCTGGACCTCATTTTGAGACTCAACTCTATGAAGTCATGGAAAAGAAGGGAAACGCCATCCTAGCATGACAACCCCAAGGCCCAGGAAGAATGAGAAATGCTGTCCATGTGAAAAAGGTTCCCAGCAACATGCAGTACAGCCTTGGCTACACCGGCATTCCTGGAGCAGTCTATTCCCCCCCCCCGATACAACCCACTGGCCCCCTACGTCTACAAAAGACATCAATAGATACACACCCCAACCCAATCAATGCACTTCCCACCTCCAATCCAGACCCTAAAGACACTGGTCAAGAACACCTGACACTGACCCTACCTGTGCCTACAGGTCCAATCGGAACACCTAGAGTGAGATCTACTCCAGTTTAGCAAAAAGACTTTATAGTAACATAGATAAAAAAAAACAAGGGAAGATGTAGTGTTGAGTAATAAACGTGAGCAGGATGAAGGCATTAGCAGCTAGGTAAGAAAAGCAGAACAATACAGTTCATTCCACACATTATTGTTATGATTGTTTGTTAATAAAAATTATTTTAAACCCACCACGAAGTGATTGATTTGTTTATTAACGAATACCACACCGTACATGTATATACTTCTTTAGAGAGTTTTCCAGTCGTATTTTATTTAATAAACACATATATAGCCATGTTGATGTGTTTGTGTAATGCTCTGGTAGCCTACATAGAACAGAACATCAAAGCAAATTTAGTAAAGCAACAGTGTTTTGCATAGAGATATCCATTGTGTTCATATGTATGATATAATTGACTAAATATCTCTAAATCTAGAGAATCATTTAATTTAAAGGCCATTTATGAATTCACCATGTCAAAAATACATAAGAATTGACACATTTCATTTCTGAAGTAGTCAACTTGTGAAAAATTGTAGGCCAGTGTTATAAGGGAAAAGGTTAAATCAAAATGATAAATCTTTTTAGAGCTTGTCACAGATTTAATTAAAAAAAGACAAGCTATGCATATCTAATTTGATAAATTACATTATAAAAGATATCCAAGAAAAGCAAAATCTTGACTGATAGACTCTTGAAGAAGGTACAACAGTTGAAATGAGAATATTACAATAGGTACTTTATGTTTTCAATATTAACAACTATGAGAGATGATCTATGAAGAATATGTATCAGCAGTTTTCATTAGAAGATTTAATATTTGGATTATTGTATTCTGTGCTGTCAAAGACTAAAAGAAAAGGAACTACAGAGATCTTAAGTCTAGATTTAAGGGAGCTATGATTCAACACATTGGCCATGATAAAATGATGGCGAAACAAGCAAGCCACAAAGCACACAAGGCCATGAGACAACTAGAGTACAACACATGGACCATAGGGCAACTGTAGTACACAACATGTAGATGACAAAGGAACTTCAGTATGTAAAAGACAGGTCATGAGAGTGCAAAGGTCAAACATACATTGTCTAAGATTGCTATGATAGAACATGCAGTACAAGAGATTGTTAAGGTATAACATATGAATCACAAAGGAGATAAGATAGAACATAGAATAGAAATAGACATACAGAGATTTGGTTTGCAACCACACAATTCAGCTAGTTCATCCATGAACTGAATGAAATCCACTTGGATGGTGTGCCTTGGGCTTTTTACATAGCGTTTTCCTATGATTTCTTCCTTCTTTATGATTTCTTTCCACATTTTATCAGCTGATGGCAGTATTATTTCACCCTGCAAGAAACAATTCCACTATTAAAGTTCAACTTTTTCTCCATCCTTCTTACAGAGAATCTCTTAAGAAATTTCTTTGAATTTGAATTTTCTCTTAGGGATCATCCTCAAAATTTTCTCTCCAAAAATAATATTCATGACAGAATAAAACATTCAATTTAAAACACTGAAATTAACAAATAAGATGTCTATGGAAACAAAGTCTTTATAAGTGATAATCTAACCAAAAAATGTCACCAAGCAAGAACACTTGAATACTTTGTGAGAAAAGCTGCAGTGAGCTGTAAATATCAATTTAACTTTCATATATATATATATATATATATATATATATATATATATATATATATATATATATATATATATATATATATATGTTTGCTGCTTAAAAATACATTGGTAAGCATTTATTCTTATTTACACTATTGATCAAAAGATCACTTCAAACATGTTTCAAATAAAATTTACCAATATAAACTAAGTGATCAGCTCACAAGAGGAAACTAATATATATATAGGGATTTACTAAGCATAGCTTAGATGTGGCACAAGACTGAAAGTATGGAGCGCCCAATGAGGATCAAACTCACTACTTGATCCAGTGAGACAAGTTTTAACCATTACCACACAGTGAAGTGCCCACACACACACACACACACACACACACACACACACACACACACACACACACACACACACACACGCGCGCGCGCACACACACACACACGTATTTGTGCAAATATTCTCAGATGGAGTATGTATGTAGAAGCAACAAAATGAATGAAAAAGACAAATGGAAAATTGTACTTAGTTTAGCTAATACATTTTATTTTGCAACAAGTATATATTTAACTATATGTACTTGTTGCAAAATAAAACCATCACATTTGCCTTAAGAAAGTCTGAGTGACAAAATGTGTTGGCTAAACTAAGTATGATTTTCCAATTGTCTTTTCATTCATAGAAAAATTTGGATGTTTCATCATTTGATCAGCTTTTGGAAAATGGGTGTAGCTGAAAAAATATCTGAACCTCCTCTATATATGTAAATGTATTGAAATATATAGGCCAAGAATAGAACAGTTGGGATTCCCAAGAGCCTAAATAGCAGCATTTAAAACAGAATATTAATCATAGTAATGTACAAAGGACAAAATGAAGACAAAGTACAAATTTCATAAAGGAAATGTTATGCAATTAATTTGGTGTTTAACAACAAAAAGTAGCAAAACCATTAAAGACATTTAGGGCTGAATAGTTTGATTCTAAAATAAATATTTTAAAAATGTAGTATATTTTGGTACTTTTTTCACTGTTTATTCATATAATTATCAGAATATTATTAATCAAAATTAATTAACTTCAAGAAATTCTAGCTATATATGTTTTGAAATTGTTTAATGAAATATATATATCTTACTTTGAAAACTCGAGTTGCTACTCTACACTGAAGTTCTGATATGGGCATAATGGCCCCCAATGGTTGAACAAGGCCAATGACAGCCAATGTGTTCCTCTTCTGATCAGGTGGAAACATGTACTTAAAAAGTTGAACTTTGTTATTCCGAATATCAATCACTGATTTTGGAATAAATGGAAACTTGATCTGATATCCTGTGGCTAAAATGAGAACATCTGCATCTTTGTAGGTTCCATCAACATAATGGACACCATTTTCACTTAGCTCTTTGATGTCTGGTTTTATCTGTATACGGCCTGAGATAATCCGGTTAGGTAGGTCATCACTGAATGTTGGATGTTGACTCAAAAAAGAATGATTTGGCTTTAACCCATAAAGATTATGATCAAAACGGTTGTTCAGTTGGTGTTCAAATATCCATTTTAAAACAGATCGTGGTAGTAGGTTGTAAAACATTTTTAATGATCTTCTTTTGAGAGACATGTCAAGTGGGTAA